TTCACTAAACTTGTAGAATTCACAAAAGATAAAGCTGACACCCCAGATGACAGAGGCAAGATCAAAAAGGAGCCAAGTGGCTAGAGCACTGAGCTGAATTGAATGAGATGAAATTCAAGAACAATAGATGTGGAGTCTTACACATGGCTCAAAAAGTGAGCTGCACAAGCAGAAGATGGCCGGAAGCATGGCTTGACAGAAGTTGTTCTGACAAAGATCTTGGGGTTTTAGTGGAACACAAACTTAATATGAACCAGTAGTAGGAAGTGTCCATCTAAAATACTGATGTGGCCTTGTGTTGCATTAAGAGGGACATAGCTTCCAGGAATAGGGAGGGGAGAGTAGTACTGCACTTTGCCTTTGTCTCATCTCAAATATAGTGTTCAGTTTGGGTACCTTGTTTTAAGAAGGTTGTTAATAAAATGGTGGCTTCCAGAAGGGATCAGCCAGGAGGATAAAGGGACATAAACCCATGTCATTTGAAAATTAGTTGACCTGGTGATGTTTAGTCTGGGGAAGAGAGGAATCTGGAGAGAAAGGGCATTATAGCTGTCTCCAAGTATCCTAAGGGCTGTCTCATGGAGGAGAGATTAAATTAATTTTGTTTGGCTTCAGGAGGTAGAACCAGGTGAAAGTCACAAAGAACCACATTTAGTCTTGATCTAAGGGGGGAAAAACCTTTCTTAACAATGAGAGCCATCCCACTTCCTAAGAATGAGAGCCATCCCACTTTCTCGGAATAAGAGCCATCCCAAAGCAGAAGGGGTTACATGTGGTGTGAGGTGGTGAGTTTCCCTTCCTTGAAGGTCTTCAAACAGAAGGTGGATGGCCACTTGGTGGCATGTTGAGGTTGGGATTCTCTTAGTGTATAGCTTGGGCTAGATGGCCATGGAAGTCCCTTCCAACTCTCTAATTCCACAACTCAGCAACAGCATGGAAAGTATTGTACTAGGTACTAAGGACACAAAGACAAAAACAAATTTTCCCTCACCCTCAAGGATTCTATTTGGGAGAAGAGGACACATGCACAGTAAGTAAATACAAGGTAATTTTTTTTTAACAGGAAGAGAACTCTAATAGTTAAAGAAATCAGAGAGGACTTAACATAGGAGGTGACAGATCCACTTAGTTTTGAAAGAAGGCTGGGATGAAAAGGGAGAGCATCCTAGGGTTTAAAGGGCCCACAAAGGTGAAATTGTAGGAGATGTGGGGTTGAGGTTGAGGGGTAGGCCAGCTTTGCTAAACCATGGAGTATATAAAAAGAAGAAATGTGAAATCAATCTGGAAAGGCAGATAAGCCAGATAGTGAAGGGTTTTAAATGTCAGAAATGTGTGGCTTTATACTAGAGAAAAGAGAAAGTCTCTGAATGTTTCTGGGTAGGGGAGAAACATGATCAGCCTTGTGCTTTAGAATGAGTAATTTGTCTACCATATGAAGCATGGATTAGAAAAGAGAGACTGACAGCAGAAAGAACAGTTAGGAGGCTTTCTGAAAAGTCCAGATAAAAGGTGATCGGCACCTAAACTAGAGTGTTGAGAGAAAGGGACAGATGCTGTGTAGATAGAATTGACAAGATCTGTCAACAGACTGGAAATTGGCTGTGATATAGAGAGCAGACTCAAGGAATATGCTCAACAGTTATGATGCTGGTGGTATTCGTAAGAGAAATAAAGGAGTTGGGAGAAAGTCTGGACAAAAAAAGGAATATGAATATATTACTGACATGAATGATAATATTCTGAGATGTACTGATAATATGAATATATATATATAAAATATAAAAGTAACATGAAAAAGCCTGTCCTCTATCATACACTTTATCATTATAGAGTTAGGGCTGTAAGAGTTTAAAGGTCATGGACACAACCCATTTGGGCCATGGTGCATTTGAGATGTCTGTGAGACACGCAGGTAGAGATGCACAACTGGCGAATGACAATGTGGTATTGGCAATCAAGAAAAATATTAGGGCTGAGAGCTTGAATATAGAGACATGGACATAGATGAGAATGCTAAAATTAAAATGGAGAGGAAAGGGTCTGTCAGATTTTGAAATATCTTTGTTAGGTCAATGTGCTGTGGGCCTGTGGCATCATAGCTATCTGACACTGAGTTATCTTTACCTCCATGCAATGCCCCAAGTGTACAATTTCATCCAAGTACATCAAGATCAAGTTAATACCTACTCATTTGTGTCTTATTTGAGAAGCAAATTAAACTGATTCCAAAGATTAAGTTCATAACAAAACTAGTGAATTTATAAACATAATAACCAAGCTCAACTCTCATATTCTAGTTGGATTGGGTAAAAGATGGCTTTCCAAAGCCAAGAGTGGAAGAAGCCTTCCATTTAACACTGAGGTTAGACAATAAGAATTTAATTCTCTTAACATCTTTACTTAAAATCCCTTTCTCCAGACCAGCATTATCATCAAGGTAAAGAGTTTCATCAAAGTAGAGAATTTCTCATTGGGAATTCTGGCTTAGGAAAAAGCCTCTTGCAAAGCACCTTCATTATTATTCTGCAATTTATAGTCGTAGATAGCTGTCTGGGGGCATTAAGAGCTTACATGACTATCCCAGGTTCACACAGTCAGCGTATGCAGGAACTGGGTTGTGAAACTAGGTCTTTCCAAGCCTACCAAAACCCATCCTCTATCATATACCATATCATCATAGAGTTAGGGCTGCAAGAGACTGTAAAGGTCATGGATACAACCTAAGCATTTTACATATAAGCATTTTACAGATGCTTATATTGAGTCTTAGGAACATTATGTGCCTTATCCAGGATCACAAGGCTATCAAGTGTCTAAGACAGGTTTTAAACCTAGATCTTCATGATTCAAAGTCCTGTGACCTTTCTATCATGCCACATGGCTTCTCATTATTGAATACTACTAATTATATTGCAGGTAACAATAATATCATTGTATCAATTTTTGTATGTTCTCATGCAAACTACTTCAACCTTTCCTGATCTTAGACTTCATTTCCAAAAGGACTATAATGATTTATAATACTCTCTCACATTATGATTATATTGTTATTATCAAACAGATTAAGAGGAGGAAGAGGAAGAGGAGGAGGATTCACCTCGATCATCCCCTGTCACTTCTGAAAAGCAAATAATCATTTTTTCCTATGTGGTAGAAAATGAAAAAAAAACCTCTTTGTTCTATACATCTCCAATCTGCCACAATCTATCAGCTAAAGTAGAGGAACCCACAAGTCTCTGAACTGAGTATGTGTTGTTGAATTCCTATCTTCAATAGGACAGATATTTTGCATTTTCTTTTTAATAATGACAATATGCTCTGCTCAGCCCCCAGACAAAGACAGACTTAACTTTGCAGAAGAGAGCTCAAAAGGTGAAGTCTACAGGTGCTTTGTTGGTGAAAATGTCAGCTTCATGTGAATAAGGATTATTTGCCTGATGTAGTAGATATGTAAAAATATATTGATTAAATAAGGAGTGCTCTAAGATCACAGATAATAATATAAAACAATTATGTTATCTCATAAAAATTGTCCACAATCTCAATGAGTTTTGCTAGTAAGTAAGGTGCTAGAGTTAGGTAAGTAGATTGTGGTTCACCTGATAAATGATAGTCTTCTGATCTGAAAGTGTGTAATCCATTCTGTTGGGTTGCATGGTGTGTAACATCAGATATCAGTTTTACTCCTACTAGGCTCTGCAGAAAATGGAAGGTTTGACTTCCATGTGTCTATAGCTTCACTCTTCTCATTGGGATTTTTTCATATTCTATATGGATGACTTTATAAATCACAAAATATGACCTTAGGTGGTGGAGTAGATAGAGCACCAGGCTTGGAATCAGGAAGAGTCATCCTTGTGGGTTCAAATCCAGCCTTGGACACTCACTAGCTGTGTGACTCTGGGCAAATCGCTTTAACCCTGTTTGCCTCTGTTTCCTCATCCGTAAAATGGGCTGGAAAAGGAAATGGCAAAGCACCAAATGGGGTCACGAAGAGTCAGACATGACCGAAACAACACAACACCTATTGCTATTGTGTTGTTGTCAGGAACCCCGATATATTGGGACAGCGTGGGATTTAGGTTTGAGAGAGTTGGGTTCAAGCCCTGAATCGGACACTAGCTCTGCAACCCTTGATACTTAACCATTAGAAACCTTTGTTTTCCCACCTGTAAAATGGATATAATTATAATAGTTAGCCCTTCTTACTTCGTATAGCTATTGTATGGAAAGGTTTTGAAAATTGTAATTATACACACACATATATCATTACTATTGTTAGAATATCTGGCAACAAAATGATAAAGTGGGGAATCTTTTAAAAGTACAGAGCCCAGGGCAGTTGCCCAAGGATGGAATACTCTAGAATTGGCTGGGCAGCAAGACCAAACAGTTGTCTAAGTTGGTCTAAGTTGAAGTTGATATGCCTGTCCTTACCCTTACATAATGCTACAAGGTTGAGACTGAATGCCTTTTAAAATAAAGAATTAAAATCAGTTACATTTGACATAGAAAATTGTTTGTGAGAATAGAAAGTTGAAATTCAGCCATGATATCTGTTCTTAAGGGTACATTAAATCAGTTCACTCAATTATTTTTTTCATAGAAGATTGAGTACTTAGAGAGTCACAGAATATTCAAAATTAAAGAGATCTTAGATAAAATATGTTTTGACCACTCATTCTAAACATGAGGAAACAGAAGCCAAGAGACACACAATTGAAACCCAAAGCAACACACACGTATGTGTATGTGTGTCTCTTATTTGTATGTAGTTATTTGCATGTTGACTTCTCTATTAAACTGTAGGTTCCTTGAGGGCAGGGACCATTTTGCCTTTCTTTATATCCCCAGCACTTATCACAGCACCTGGTACATAGAAAGTCCTTAATAAAGGCTTGTTGACTTGACTTGACTTATTCTCATTGCTTTCTTTCCTTAGTTCTTTAACATTTCATTCTGCCTTTAGTATCCCAAGAGGAACTCAAAACTGAAGGTCAATGGAACAAAACAACAGCTCTCCGGGGGGCTTCATTCTCTTGGGCTTCTCTGACAAGCCCCAGTTAGAGATAATTCTATTTGTGCTCATTTTGGTCTTCTACATCTTGAACCTAGTGGGGAATATGACCATCATCTTGGTTTCTAGTATGGACCCCAGACTACACACCCCAATGTACTTCTTCCTTACCAATTTGTCCTTTGTAGACCTCTGCTTAACTACCACTGTGGCCCCACAGTTACTGCTCACGATGAGAAGCAAGGACAAAACTATGAGCTACATTGGCTGTGTAGCCCAACTGTATGTGGCCATGGGGCTGGGATCCACTGAATGTATTCTCTTGGTTGTCATGGCCTATGACCGCTATGCAGCAGTCTGCCGCCCCCTCCACTATGCAGTCATCATGCATCCTCAGCTCTGCCTGTCTCTGGCTGCCACAGCATGGCTCAGTGGCCTTGTCACCTCTCTTATCCAGTGCTCTCTCACTATACAGCTGCCCATGTGTGGTCATAACCAACTTGACCACATCTTCTGTGAGGTGCCAGTGTTGATCAGGCTGGCCTGTGTAGACACCACTTTCAATGAAGATGAGCTTTTTGCGGCCTGTGTGGTCTTCCTTGTGGTGCCTGTCTCTCTCATTCTGATCTCCTATGGCTACATCACCCAGGCCATATTGAAGATTAAATCTGCAACAGGACGCCGTAAAGCATTTGGGACTTGTTCTTCTCACTTAGTAGTTGTAATAATTTTCTATGGAACCATCACCTTCATGTATCTCCAGCCAGTCAAAAGTAGGTCCAAAGACCAAGGGAAATTTGTCTCCCTCTTCTACACTGTGGTCACCCCTCTGTTAAATCCCCTCATCTACACCCTGAGGAACAAGGATGTAAAGGGGGCACTGAGAAAGCTGGTACCTGGAAAAGGCTATTAGCTCAGAAAAACTGTATTAGACATGAACAAAGAGGGTTGTTCTAATTCCAGATAATTCTAAGCATTGCCATCTATTCAATGTCTTTATCTCCCTGTAGGATTGGACAAAAGCAGTGAAATCTTGTAAGAATCCATTATCTTCCCCTCTTCTTTACTGTTTGAACAATTGGTTTTAAATAGATTAGATAGATAATCTGTCTGCATATCTACCTATGTGTGTGCATATATCTTTATATATACATTCATATATACATATGTATGTACAAATATGCATCATACAAAATAGAAGTATTTATACATACATATATACATACATATATACACACATACATTCATACAGAATGGAAGTATTTCTATATACATATATATATGTATATACACATATGCACATATGTATGTATATATAAACACTTCTATTTTATTGAACTCTATCAGATGGATATATGATCCCATTGGCTTGATTGTTCTTTCTAGTGACCCAGATCACCATACATCCATGCATGTGTATATTGTACAACTCTAATCCATCCCCCAAGCAGCTGCCAAATTGGTCATCCTAAAACAAAGGAATGTCCACTCACTGTCATGATGATGAAACTTCATGGAGCGATGGGAGGCCCACTGGAAGCAGCATCATGACATCATTAGAGAACATTGACAGCCCAGCATAGCCAGAGGCATGGATTACTCTTTTCAAGCATGTGCCCTAATGACCTGTGTTCCCTGTATGTGTCCTCCTATGCACAATCTCTGACCAAATGTCTCCATATACATATAGCCCTCCATGTGTATGTTCTAGCCACAATTGTCCTATAACTATCTGCATGTGTTTCCTATCTATGTGTGTTCTTTTCATTTGTATACTTCCACTCACCTATTTTATCCATTCATTCTTTCAATCTGTACCCCTCCATATTTTTCCCTACTTGTATCTATTCTTCCCTTTTATGATGTTTGCATTTGTGGGAAAATTTGTCCCAGGTTTATAAAACAATGAAGTGGCAGGGTGGTGGTGGTGGTGGCTAAAGCATTGGATTTTGAGTAAGGAAAGCCTGGATTTGTATCCTGCCTTAGACACTTAGTAGGTGAATTATATCTATCATACTCATGATTCTACATCAAAAGCAATGCACCACTCACAGCCTGGCAATTCAAATAAGTAACACCTTTCCAAAAATATTCAAACAACCCCTAAGTAAAAGTCATCCCCAAAGCAGTTTCATTTCTAAACAGTTTATAGGAAGATAAGCAAAAGTTACAGGTGAAGAAAATAAAAGCAGTCTTCAAGAAAGTCCTCTGAGGTCTCAAGAGCTCCCCTCCAGAGTCTTAGAATGAATTTCCTCCCCTCCCTATCTGAAGTGCTTATAGTTGAGACTCACACCAATGTGTCTGGTAGTAAAGTTAACTCAGACTGCTCCAGGGCTGCTTCATGACTTCTTTCTTACAGCAGCTCCAGCTAGTGTTGGGAGAAGAGAGGGAGCTCATTTGAGGCTCCTCAGCTCCATCAGTATCTTGGTCTACAATGCTACTTTATATTCAGCTATTTCATTTATAAAATGTGCATAATAATAATACCTACCTCATGGGATTGTTGTAAGGAATACATGATAAAAATCAATGTAAAAGACTTCATAAGCCTTAAAACACAATGTGAAAGATATCCATGAGGAAATTCTTCATTAAATGACTTCCATACTCTGTTATTTTTATTAAATGCCTTTGATTTGAACTAATTGTATCTTCTAAGTGACTAATATGGGCAAACGTATTGGCTCATAAACTTAATTTTTTTTCTAGAGTACTTTGAACCTAGGATGACTCGCCCTCCCTAAGGAACATGAATGTGAGTTAGAGGGATGTCTCCTGGCATTGCATTTTATTTATGTATGAGAAGTTTGATAATGTGCTTTCTTTGTTTCCTTAATGGTCTAAAGAGGACCGGAATTTGTTTATAATTATTGAAATTCTATCTGATACCTCCTTTCTAGTGGCAATAGCAGTATTGATATTATTATGGGTCCAGAGCTGAAAAAGTAAGGGTGGTTGGAGGCAAAGAGTGTGATATGTGTTTGGCAACAGGGAAGGAAGGGCCTAGGATAGTGCTATGTTTGCAAATAGGTTGAATGGAAGGATGATGGTCCCTCCAAAGAAATAAGGAAGCTAAGACTAGGTGGGTGTAGGAACAAATACCATGAATTCTATTTTTGAAGATATTGCTATTGAGATGTCTATTGGACATCCAAGTGAAGGTGTCCAGCTAGTAGTTGGAGATGTGGTGACTGGAGTAGGGGAAGTAGAGAACTGATGTATCTGTAGATTTGGGTTTCACCTATTAATAAATGATGATTGAATGCATAAAATCTGATGAGTTCACCAAGATACAGGGCATAGAAAAATATATAAGAGCACCTCACCCCCTTTAATGAATTCAAATCACTTTGCCCAGATGCATTACATTCCTGGGTCGTGAAGGAGCAGGCAAATGTGGCTGCCCAGCAATAATCACTCAACAGTCAATCAACAAACATTTATTAAGAACCTATGTGCCAAGCACTGTGCCAAGTGCTATAGATACAAAAATAATTCAAAACAGTCCCTAAAATTTGACACATTGTGGAGAATGGGAACCATGCCACAGGACTGATGAAGAATAGATGCTTTAGTTCTCAAAATGGGGAAAAGAGTGGAGTCTGTGAGCTGTAGCTCAAAGCTTAATGTGTCAAAATTGTAGAATATATTATTCTTACCGGCTTTTTTGTAATCATCACATTCATTTGTGAATATATCCTCTTTTCCCCTCAAACAGTGAGCCATCACTTGCAACAATGATTTTAAAAGAAAGAGCTCATCCAAACCATCCATGTTTGGCAGTATATGCAGGTATGTTGGATGTATTATCAAATGAATGGTTAGTGGAAGTGTAGAAAATGAAGTGGTGATCACAAAGCACAGATCCTTCATAAGGAACATGCCATGCCAGACTCAAAGCCATTAGGCATTCTGACCAGGTAAGAATTTTATAAGGAATGTAAGGTTGGTTCAATATCTGAGAAACCATAAACTTAAGAGAAAATACTAATAACAAAAGCAATCACAATGACATGATTATATCAAAAGAAGTAGAAAAAAAGGTTTTCACAAATTACAACACTGAAAAAAAACACCAAAAAGCTTGGAATAAATTGATTTTAATTAATATGATAAATAATATCTGTCTATAAAGCCACGAGTCAATGCTATTTGTAATGGAGATAAACTGAAGGCCTTTCTATTAAAATCAAAGGGAAAGAGAGTTTGTTTATTACTGCCATTATAGTTTGATACAGTTTTAGACCTGTCAACTATAGCAATAATATGAGAAGTGAAGGGAAGAGCATAGGCAAAAAGGAAAGAAAATTATCATTTTTATAGGTGATATCACAGTCCCCATAGAGAACCTTAGAGAAATAACCAAAAATTAGTTGAAGCAATTAGTAACTTCAACAAAGTATTAGGATATTAGATAAACCCATATAAATCATCGCCTTTCTGTTTCTTACTAACACAACGCAGTAGAAAGAGAAAGAAATTTCATTCAAAATAACTATATAATACCTAACATAATTAGGAGTCCATCTATTTAAACACCTATAGGAACTCTGCGGGAGCAGCTAGGTGGCACAATAGATAAAGTTCCAGGCTTAGAGTCAAGAAGAATCGGCTTTGAGAGTTCAAATCTGGCTTCAGACACTTACTAGCTATGTGGCCCTGGGTAAATCACTTACCCCTGTTTGCCTCAGTTTCCTCATCCGTAAAATGAACTAGGGAAAGAAATGACAAATTGCTCCAGCATCTTTGCCAAAAAAAAAAAAAACCAAACAAACAAACTCCAAATGGGGTCATGAAGAGTTGGATATGACTGAAAAATGACTGAATAACAACAGGAACTCTATGAATACATCTAGGTTCCGATTAGTGTGAAGATGGAACCACAGGAAGTGGTCACATGTAATTGAATTCATACGATTTGAAGTGGCACTGTATAAAATATGGTAATTGGTTCTAGCTCAATGGAAACATGCACTATGAATTAAAATAATTTAACCAGAAGATTTCTTATTTGCACTTATTGAAATGCAATACTACAAAACTACAAAACACTTTTTACAAAAATAAAAACAAAGCTAAGTAAGTAGAGAGATACTAAATTATTGTGGCCAATCTATGTCAATATAAGAAAATAGTTTCTCTCTCTCTCCACACACACACACATATACACACACACACACACAATAGATCAAGATCAAGAAACAAATAGTAATAAAATTCAATTAGAGGCACAAATGGTGAGTATACTTATGGGAAATCATAAAGTAAATTGGGAATGAAGGAGGACCCACCAGTGCCAAATATCAAACTATACTATAAAGCAATAATCATCTAAAACAACTTTATGTTGGCCAAAAATAGAAAAAAATCAGGAGAATAGATTTGATAAACAGCATATGGAAAAATGAACATAGTAACATCAAAATATGACAACTACTGGATAAGGACTCACTATTCAAAAAAAATGCTGGGAAAACTAGAAATGAGTGTGAAATAAATTAGCTTTAGACCATGCTTTGACACCACATTCCTAATAAGCTCAAAATAGATATATGACATGAATCTAAAAGGTCACATGAAAAATAAATTAGAGGAAGTAAGAAGAAAATAACTTTCAAAACTATAGATGAGGGAAGATTTCATAACCTTACTAATGATAAAGGAGATGCTAGAAAAAAAATCAATAATTTTTTTTTGATAGAAGGAAAAATTTCTTTTGCATAAACAAAATCAGTTTTGTTAAAATTAGAAGGGAAATAGTTAGCTTGGGAAATATCTTTGCAACAAGTTTCTCTGATAACTCAGAGCAGAATGTCTAGTTTTCTTATACTAGAATGAAGGGGAAGAACCTGAGTCAGGAAACAAATATTTAGAGGAGTTGAAGGCATTAAGTGAGGGGACTCAAGTTGGAAA